CATTGGCACAGGGGAATCAGCAATCCAGGAAAAGCCCCTTGTCACTGCTTAAGCCCCGGTCATGTTAGGGGAAACCATGGTGGCCTTAGCATAGCCTTGCAAATAGTCATTTCTAAAGTATTTTTTTTCTCAATCTTGAAAAATTCAATTTAGTTTTGGTTTTGTCTATGTGTATGAATTATTTCACTTCCTAGTCACTCTTCCTATTCTCTGGCATTAGGTCTCCTTATTATAATTATTTAGGGTAATTATAATGATTTGCCTTTTTGCTGCATTATATTTCTCCAAGCTCTTACATATTTTTACACTGTCTCAAGTTAATATTTATGTCTACCTTGGACAAATATACTCAAGAGTTTCTGCATAACTAGGATTCCATGAAAACCAAATATGAAGGGAATGGCAGAAGGGCAAAATATGAGTTTTATATTAGAGCCACATAGCTTTCTTTTAAGTTATTGACACTTGGGTTAATATGAGTTTTCCAGGCTGCTTAAGGGTTACTGAAATTATTGCTTCACTTTAGACTCTCTTTTACTCTTCCCATATCCATATGTGCTGTCATTAGTAACATAACCTCATTGTTGACCACAAGAGGCTAGACAAAAATGACAGAACTGCTGTGACTTAAAGGAGACTTAAAAGTGATAGTGTAATTTACAAAGGAGCAGTTAAGTTCTTTAATAATTCATTCATTGAGTAACATTTTTATACTGCAGTGAAATAAATGTAATGGCAGTTTTAGGGGTAACTGGTAATAAAGAGTCATTGATATACCTGTTCCTCTTTCTTCTAGCTTCCTCTCTTGACAGCCTTGCAGCTAACATAAAGGTAATTTTAGCAGTAGCATTTGTAAAATTATTTCTTGCTATCTAATGTCAATTGTTGTGCTTTGTCCAATGAGTTATGATAAGTATATTTCTAGCTATTGCTGCTTATGTAATTGCTGTAGAGTTTAAGTGGTGCCTAAGCTCCCCTGCCTACTTTGTTTTGCTTTAGTTGTTCCCCACCCCCACCCCATATACGCTTTTTTCATTTGTAAGATGAATCACCAGTGAGGGTGTGTGTAAGCCCAGTACCTACTTTATCAGTAGGACTTTCATTGCTTTTTCTCTAATCAAATAACTTTATACACAGAAGTGGTAAATCACTTGTTCTTGAAATTCAGTTCGTCAAGGTGAAGGGGCAAAGTTCTGTGTTACAGGAGAATGAATAGACGTAAGCAGAGAACATGGAGTATTCTCTGTGTCTTATACCATAGCATTTAAATATTTCATTAAAAAGTTATATCTTTTCCAAACCTAATAATCTCTCACAAATCAAAAGTCAGAGCATGAGTTTTTTTGGCTTGTTAATACATGCCAAACTTACAGAGTTTTGGTTATCTTCCCTTGACCTTGACTCCTGAGCATTTTGTCTCTAGTCTTCTCTACTCCCGCTTTTCTTTTATTTCAGGAGCTTCCCAGGGCAGGTATTGTATCATCTTACTCCCAGTTCTCTTCCTTGTCCCACCACACCCCAGCTCTAAATTAAGCAAACAAAAGCAAAACTACAGTTAAAGAATAATGTACATTGTCACTTAGGTTATTAAAGCACCAGATGAACGGATTGTTTTAAGGAATGAATCACCATCACCTCTAGATTCAAGTAAGTTTGGGAAGCCCTCGCCCAGTTACAGTAACCAAGGGGATGCCGACCTCCACCAGGAAACTTCATTTGTCAGCTCCCAGCACTCCAGATCTCCCAGCCCTCTTCTGCATCAGCCCCTTCTCCAAGAAAGGTCAGCAGCAACTGCCCATTGCTTTGCATAAAGAGTGCCTTGTGATCTGACAAGAGAAAAGACAGGTTACTACATCATTTGCTTCCTCAGGAATATTTAGCTAGTGACAGTTTGATATGAAACATTATTATTCCTTTAAAAATCTCCCCAAAAGTAAGAATTGAACCATTTTTTTTGTGTGTGGACATATGTTTTTATTTCTGTTGAGTAGATACCTAGGAATGGGATTACCGGTTGGTATGATAAGTGTATGTTTAACTTTTTTTTCCCCATTTTTCCCTGCTATTATTTTATTCCTTTGTTTATTGGGAGAGTACCCAATTTCTCAGTTTGCCTAGAGTTCTTTTTTTTTTTTAATAATTTTATTTATTGAAAGTATTTTCAAGTATACAGTACATTGGTTAGACATCTATAATGTTCATAAAAGGATCCCCCCAGTTGCTCCCTCCCTCCCTTAGCCCTCCACTTAACCATCATATTAATGCTAACGGCATTCCCTCTGCCATGCTCCCCATGCCCAACTATCAACTACTAATTTGTACTACTTTAACCCTTCACCCCATTCTTCCAGCCTCCCAACCTTCCTCCCCTCTGTCTATCACCAAATTGTTCACTATATTTGTGAGTCTGTTTTTGATTAGTTTGTTCTTTTTGTTCCTTAGATACTGCATATAAGTGAAATCATATGGTATTTCTCTTTCTCTCTCTGACTTATTTCACTCAGCATAATAACCTCTAGATCCATCCATGTCGTTGCAAATGGTAGGATTTCATTTTTTTAAATGGCTGAGTAATATCCAAAGAAAACCAAGACAGTAATTCATAAAGATTTATGCACTCCAATATTCATGGCAGCACAATTTACAATAGCCAAGATATGGAAGCGACCTAAATGCCCATCAACAGATGATTGGATAAAGAAATTATGGTTCATACATACAAGAGTTGAGCCTTTTGTCTTGCCCCTGGAAAACATCTTAGGATGTTTGTTGAAAATGGGACAGACAGCTAATTTGTCATAGGTGCTATTTATTTATCCATATTTAGCTGTTATAAATCTTAAAACTCAAGCTTTTGATTTTACCAGTATAAAAATGCTCACCATAGAGATTTTGGAAATTATAGAAAAATTAAAAGGAGTGAAAAAAAATTACTCATATTCCTGCCACCCAAAGACAAACATCAACAACATGTGGGTATATTTTCTTTTTCTTTTTCTAGACATGGTTTCTTGGTTTGTTTATATTACTGATATAAATTTTAAAAAAAAGATGATCGCAGAAGTCTGGAGGGCAGACCAGAGATGGAGAGTAGAAATTTTTATTTTCCAAACTACACTGTCTAGTAACATTGCTAACCATTCAGTTTACCTAGGACTGTCCCAGTCTTGTATTCTGAGAAATCCTTTAGTCACAGGCAAACCCAGGACAGTTGGTCACCTTACTTCCACAGAAGTGGCACAGAAGATAATATTTTTAAGACAGCTGTTTTGAATGAAGAATATTCCTTTGTATCCTTGGGGATGAATCCATTCCCTGTTGACTTCAGCACAATCGCAGAGGTGGCCCCTGGAACAGTAGGTGCTATCAGTACTTTTGGAAACCTCATTCATAACAGCATCTTCCCATATCAGCATCACTGGGACCAGTCTTTCCATGCCCAGATCGCAGGAGCACATGAGAAACACTTCTGCTAGCTTAATACTGAAATCAGTAAGGGCCAAGTTTGCAGGGATGCATTGGAGAGACAAATTTTGGATTGAGAATCAGCCCAAGGTTTTAATGGAAGAAGTGGAAAACCCTTTTAACTAGTAGGGTGAAAATAGTGTTCCCTATATTCATCATCTGGTTAGTGGCACATCCCATCAGCACACATCCTTACTTTTCCACTGCATGAGGAGAAAGCTGTAATAAAGGCACAGCGTTGCTCCTGTCTATTGTCATCATTTCATCCTGTCATCATTTTCAAAGATCTTCAAATGTAGTATTGATTGTACATAATAATAGTGGTAACAAATGTAGGAATTGTTTTGGTACTGGTTACTCAAGACCTATGGAAAAACATTTACAGTGTCTAGCTGGTGGCTATTTTTCATTGCTAACTTTATTTATAGTTTTGAAACATTTCCATTCCCTGCTTTTAAAAATTCTTAGAGGAGCATAGAAATGATGTGCCTTCCCTTTTCTTAAACATGGGCAGTGCTTCAGGTGGTACTTTCATTTACTGAGTTGTTTTCCTGGGTTGGAAAAGGATTTGTATAGACCCAGTCATACTCTTGGTTTTGTCTCCTTGGAAACCAGTTGTGCATGCTTGTTACAGAGAGAGCTGGAGTTGGTTGCCCAGATGTGGGTTCCAAACTAAGCAGAGGGGCAACTGCATAGGGGCTTATCAGTGTGGTGGCCATATAACAACTGATTGATTCCCAAATGTTCCTGTCATTTTATATGTTTATTGTACATTAATTAAAGAGAATGATATTATCCAAATTGCTAGAATTCTTTAGGCATTTTAAGAAAACAATATCTGTTCTTTTCGTAATCATATTGCGAATTCTGCCTCAGAATTTATGAATTGGTACCCACTCCCCTCCAGAAGATGAATGAATGAATTCATCAAATGAATGAGTGAATTCAACCACTCAAGAAATATTTATCAAATACCTGCTGTGGTATTCAATACCTGTGAGACCCTGAGATGAGCTGTTAACCTGAGTTTCAGTCCCAATTTCAGTCTAGGAGTACAGACAGACATTAATCAAATAATAACAAAATGACCACTGGGGAAAGTGCTAGGTATAAGGGGTAAATGGACTCCTAATGTATCAAATAGGGGAGCTGACTTCTCTAGGAGGGGGATCAAGAAAGACTTTCCTGAGAAATCAATAATCGAGCTGAGCTCTGGGGGTGGGCAGTAATTAATGCGAATGAGGACAAGGTTGGGGGGTTGCAGCATTCTAGACAGAGAAAACAGTGTTGGCAAATGCCCAAGGTGAAAGAAGCTTTATGTTTGAGGAACTGAACGATGCTGTAAGTCCTGTGGCTAAATTTGGTTCTGTTTGGCCAAAAGTAAATGAGATATAAAATAAAATCCTATGGTGGAAAACAATTGGGATTAAATTTCGTATGAAAAATTTTCAGGTTAAATATTTAAATGTAAATATAGGATTTGTTCTTTAGAGAAATAACTAAAATACACAGTAAAGTACAAAGAAGAAAAGAATAACTTATAGCTATACACCCGAATACAAACCATTCTTAATATCTTCGTCGTTTTTATTCCCTGTAATTTTCCTTTGTGTAGATTTAATAGACACTGAAACTACACTTTTGCATATTGCTGCTTTTTTCTTACTATTAAGTAATAAATATCAACTCATATTCTTATGTACTCTAAGTGTCCATTTTATTAGCTGCATAATGCTACACCCTGTTTAATCTGTTGAGCAGGTTCTACCCTGATTCTCAGTCCACATGGAAGAAGATCCATGAAAGGGTATGCGGTCTTCTGACATCCCATGCTGCTTGGCAACACCTAAACAAGGTTAGGCCTTCTCGTAAAACTAGATCTTTGCTGACAAAATAATATGGGAACTGGGACTTACAGTTTAGCAGGGGAAACAGACATTAATCAAGTAACTACAGAGATAAATGTAAAATTGTGACACTTACCAAGAAGAGTATGTGGTGTCCTGAGAGTGTATGAAAAGGGGTATTTGATTCGTTGGGAGTCAAGGCAGGCTTTCCTGAGGAAGAGACAGTGGAGCTTTGATCTGAGCAATGAGTTGTAGTTAATTTGGAGCACAGCATGCATCAAGAGGAGGTCCTGCAGTGAGAGGGAGCGCAGTCCTTTAGAGGACTTAGAGAAGACAATGTAACTGGCCCAAAGCCCATTACTTTCCATTATGCACAGGAACCCTGGTCTAGGGAAGAATCCAGGGAAGTGTGTATGGTCTGTGTGAGGCCACAGCATAGAAGAAAGTTTTTCTAAAAGTTGTTGAAGGAACTCAGAAAGAGTCTGGAGGTTTTGCTAGAAATAATTGATATTTATTCATGGGTCTTAGAGTTTGAAAACTGGAAACAAAGGCAGATGAAAACTCTGGTGTTCCAAAGAAGAGAGAAAAGTTAAAATAATCATAGAAAAAGTACATTCTTAAGAATTAGCAGTCCTGCATTTTTAGGCCTAGGGTTGGTCTGGGACTATTATCAGTCAGATGACAGGGAGTCAGGATGATGGATGCCAGGTGGTTTGGAAGATGGGCACCAGGAGGTCTGGTCACATCCAGTGGTCCAGATGTCAGATGGACATATACTTGAGTCCTTCAGTGGGTAATTAGTAGGTTATCTGGAGGTCCAGATGCATATACAGGGATTGACACGGGACTAGAAAGTTCAAAAAATTTAAGTCCTAGAATGGAGTCTTTCCTCATGCTCAAACCTTCATAATGTTAATTTTAGCAACTTGGTTAAAGTGACTCCATTTTATATAGTCCTCTTTCTTCAAAGTTAAAAAGGTATTCACTCTTTCTTCAAAGTTAAAAAGGTATTTGGGCTGTTTGACTTTTATGGGGTTTGGGGTGTGTTTCTGATCCATAGATGTACCCAGTACCTTTCCTACTGCAGGTGTACAGCATTAGCTAAGTAACTTGTCACATTTCAAAATAATTGAAATGAGAGCTTAACAGTGCTCCCAGTGGTTAGATTTCATCATACCATGTAGTCGAATTGGTCATATTGTCTTATTTAAATGCTGGCATATCCTAGATTTATAGGATGACACTTGTAAATGAATAATAATTACCCCTTAGTTAGGGGTAATTACTTTACTTCCTCTCTGCAAAGCCATTGGCTTTGCTTTTTTAATTGTAAGTCTTTTTCAGTAAGGAAATCCCTTGAAAATGTAACAAGAGAAGGAGGGAGGGAAAGTAAGAGAAGAAGTAAGGAAGACAGGGAGAGAAGGAGGAGAGAAGAAAGAAAGAAGGAAGGAAGGAAGGAAGGAAGGAAGGAAGGAAGGAAGGAAGGAAGGAAAGAAGGAAAGAAAGAAGGGGGGAGAGAGAGAGAAAGAAAGAAAAAGAAAGAAGGAAAGAAAAGCTACACACATACAGACATAGTGTGGGAGTCATAGACCTCTTAAATGCAAAACTATATATCTTGCTATCATTGATTTATATTATATTATGAGTAATGCAATTGCTGCATTTGTTTTTTGTTATAGGAGGATTCTATCTCTGAAGTAAATTATACCCTTGAAAGACCAAGCTACCCTATGAAGAAATACCCAGTGCATGCACAGAGATATTTTTAAGCTGCTATCTTATGTAAGTAAGCAACTTAAGTGCTGTTTCTTATCTTGATTTGTTAAAATAATTTTGGTTTCCTGCCGTCAATATGAGATAACTAGAAAATGTGGACAGATGAGGAAGAGACCTAAGAACCACATTCTTCCTTCATGCAGTATAATGACAGAACATATGTGGGTCTGCCAGCTCTCTTCCCTCCTCTTGCTTCTCTCCCTCCCTCTCCCTCTCCCTTTCCCTCTCCCTCTCCCCTCTCTCCACCTCTCTGGGACCTCCTCCTCCTCCTCCTCCTCCTTCTTCTTCTCTCTCCCCTCCCTTATATAACAGCCCCTCTCTCAGCTCGTTGAACACAAGTTCTTTCCTGCCGTGAGGCCTTCACATGTGTTGCTCTCTCTGTCTGGAATACTTCTTTTTGACTCTACTTGTGTCACTTCTATTTATCCTTCGAATCTCATGATTTTCTGATACCTCCCTCTCCAAGGCATGCCTTTTTAGCACCATGCGCTTTCATAAAATATGACACAACTTGTTATATTTTTATATGGGTTGATTGCTTAAAAGTCTGCCCCTCTACTTGCATGAAGCCTTTCTGAAGTCTGAGACTCTGTCTCTCCCGCACACTATTTTATAGCCAGTATTTAGTGCACTACAACGGGATCCCGTTTGACTCAGGTGACTTCAACCCCATATGCTAGGTGTGTGCCCTGTACAAGAATCTAACTCCCCACTTCCTACCTATTGCTGTAGGTAAATATTTTTTATGTGTGAATGTTGGATGAGGTAATGAGGCAACTCTAGAATTCAACTATGTGGCAAGCCATTGGTCATGTAGTGGAGTTTCATCATTTCCGTTATTCTCTTCTTTTCCATTCCTAACCCAGGCCCCAAATAATAATAGCCCTTCGTTATTAAGTGCTTCTTGAGTGATGGGAACTGGTCCAAATACTTTGCATGTATTTAATGAATTAATATTTTTTTCTCAAGCCCTATGAAATAGTTACTATTCGTTCCATTCTATAGATAGTGAAACTGAGGCACAGAGGACTTGGGTGACATGGCTAGGTAGTCTGGCTTCAGCAACCATGCTTTTAACCATTACATTCTATTGCTTCTCCAAACCTAGTGTGTGTGATGAGTGAGCCCTGTGGAGAAAGACAGAGCAGAGCCCTTTGGAACCCCAGGAGAGTGTATGGACATTGCCCTTGAACATCTCCTACAGGATCCTATGCTGTTGTATCATGTAGTCCCTCATTCTAGCAACATCAAACAATTATGAACCTTTTTAAACAATGAAGGAGCATGGGTTGACATGCTAGATTTTTGCTTAGTTAGGGCCAGGATCCTGAAAATCTGGTTTGAGGGTCATTCATGCTCTAGGCACAAGTTGCCTTGTCCCAGGGCTGGCCAGGACTCTCTCCCTTCAACACAGGGAATGTGGAGGACAGCTGGGTAATTGCCCATTCTGCAGGCTTTCACCTTAGAGCATTCTGCTTGTTAGATTAAAGGATGGATTCTAGGCCACATAATCTCTGGTTGCCAAAACAGTCATCTAGGCATTTATTAGGTGGTTATACAGGATGTAACCCACATAATTACCACTTAGGGAACATGGCCCACATAATTACCAAATGCCAAATTGCACTGAATTTCAACATAGGTAACACTGAGTTACATAAAGCCCCAGACCAGCTCATATGTGGACACTGATGTGAGGGGATAGAGGCAGGTGAAAAAAAATAGTAAATTCTATCTTAGAAAATAGATTTCCCACATATCACAAGATCCCATTCAGTGGTCTGGAATATACTGTGGGCCTTCTTTGAAAGTGCTCCATACCACCCTCCCGCTACCCCTACTTCTTGAATCATGGAGTCTTGATGAGGCAGGGGCCCTGGAGGACTGTGTTGGTGAAGATTTTCATGGTTATAAAAAACCCACGTGACTTTGGCTGTTTTAAGCAAACGGGCATTTATTGGAAAGATGCCAAGCAGCATAGTGAATCCAGGGGAGATCCAAACAAGCAAGGTCAAGCAGCTGAAGTGGGGCAGCCAGAGTAACCTCCATGCATTGGAAAGGCAGCACAGAGAACATTCTGCAGAAGACCCAGTGCATTTCCGCTACAGGCCCCCTTTCCTGCTTTTCTCAAGGAAGGTCTCCTGCTTGCAGCATCAATTCTTTTCTCTCTCTCTCTCTCTCTCTCTCTCTCTCTCTTTCTCTCTCTTTCTTCACCCTCCCTCCCTTCCTTCCTTTCTTCCTCTCTCTCTCTCTTTCTTTCTTTTTCACAGTGTTGTACTTAACATCCTACATGTCCTGATATCCCACCCAAGAATAGGCCTCTGTTCTTATCTCTAGAATGGAATATTTTGTCAGGAATCACAGGGATGATGCTGTTAATACAGGAGGTGCTGTTTACATTCAATTAACAAACTGACCTGAGATACTAATATATTTAATCATTGCCCACCTCAAATTCTACTTTTAATACTGAGAACCTTTTTTCTATCGAGGGCACTCATGTCCCACTTCCTGCCACAAGTCATTGAAGGATTAGAGGGCAGCAACAATTCTTGTCCCTTTTCTTTCTTTCTCTACCTCTGCTGTTTCACTGTTGATCAGCTTTCCCTCTCCTGGTTTCCTAGTGATCTCAAGATTTGGGGGAATTGAATAAGTAAATTCTTACCACATAGAGGCCAGGGATTCTTGAGTCAAAAATAATGAGTCTAATGGTTTGACCAGGGATTAGGCAGAAGACATAAGTAGAAGGGGTTATAATATATTTATTTCTCCTTATTCTGGATGGTTTGGGGCTTGGTACTTTTGATATAAAGTAGAGTATCCCCTGTATACATTAAAATGGTTAAAATGGTGAATTTTATATTATATGACTTTACTGCAAAAAGAAATACCATACACATACTATCCCTAATTCTCTTGAAAGTCGTAGATTTTACCAAATAAGTGAGCTGATTGCCTATGTCTGGTATGTACTTGCTGAGATTCCACTTTCAAGAATCGGCTTGTAAGGCGCTCCTCTGTGAAGCCTCCTGGTCCCTCTGCTCTTTGCTCCTCCGCATGCCTCTGCTTAGTACTTCTTTTCTTCAGCCTTGTACTGTAGTTGGTTTCACGTATGAAAACCCTCCCAAGAAGGGGATAGAAGAGTGGAAGGGAAGTGTCTGTGAAGGGAGGGGAGACTGACTAACTGGCACCAAGTCTGGCCCACCGAGTGTTCCGTAGCTGTGGAAAACACCCTGGGATCCCAATGCCCACCGCCACGGCTAGCCTTCAGGGGAGCTAGTCCACTTGCAGTGCTCCCAACCAGAGCAAGTAACTCAAGCACAGACAAGAATTGTAGCACAAAACTTTCTTAAAATTAAAGACTAGCAGAAAGGAAATAAACCTAGAAAAGAAAAAAATAAAGGATAAAAATGAATTGAAGCACTGGTTTCTGATTGTCATAGCTCATTTGGCTTCTTGCTCCTAAGATGGTAGCTAGTATGGCCTCCAACTTTACCTATCTCTGCTGGCAGGCAGGTTTTACTTCCTCCCACAGGAACCCCTTCAACCTCCATTACAACCAAAGCTCGAAGAAAACCAGCCTAGAGATTTCAAACTTCAGCCCTGGGGACCCTCCCTCTCTGATTTGGTCACCAGCTTCTGAGGAAGTTTTCATTTGGTGACTTGTGGGAACTGACACAATAGATAACGATGCACCCCCTTCATCCCAGGAGCTCTTGGTCTTGTTACTGTCCAACAGACCCCACAAGCAGTGGCTGTGCACCTAAATCACAAGTCAGATTCCTGGGTCAGTGGTCTTCAATGAGCATTAGAATCATGAGGCCTAGGGGTGGTAGAGATATGTACTTTGAAAAATACCGAAAAATACTGATGGTAATATTCAGTTTGTAAATTGGTCTGGCTCCACTACAGACCAATTTCATTGGAATCTCTGTGGGTGGTGTCTGTCATTTTTATAAGCGTTCTTAGGAGATTCTGATGCATATTTATGATTGAGAATCTCTGCAGTAGGCTGAAGTACCTTGGGGGGCTGCTTGGAACACCCCCTAATCCTATACTGACCCCTTCCATGCCCAGAAATAATTGTTTCATGGACTAGAATTGATTGGGAGACATGTTTCACAGTTTCACTCAGTAGCACCTGGCAGTTTCTGCCTACTTACTGTACCCCAAGGACTGTACCAACTCTTCATAATAACACTCTATCCAGAGGTGGATACTCTGCTTATTATCATCCCCATATTATACAAGGAGTTCAGGTTACTTGCTCAAGGCCACACAGTTGCTTTGTCATGCTAACTAATATTGCCTCATTCTATGCCAGGAATGTAGGAGAAGGGGCTCAGAAACCAGTGATTCCAGGGTAGAGAGACACGCCAAGAGTAGGATAAAATGAAGTCATCTTTTCCTTGGTCGTATTGATTGGTTTTTCTCTTTTTCTCAGTCCCACATGTAGTATGGGAAGTTTCAGATTTCGGAGGGGAAACTGGATGAAAGTTGGAGGAGCATCATAAAGAACTCCCTCATGGAGTCAGCTGACACATCCTTAGAGAAATGAACAACAATTTTTGTTATATATATCAAGTTGCTGGTGTCTCATCCCCTTTAAATCAAACCCTGTACTCAGTCTTTTGTACCCAGGTAAGAGTGGTTGATTAAAGTGTTCATTGTTTGGGGCTCATATTTTCTTGTCAAGGTGGGAAATTTGTTTTAGTTTGTATGTTTGTTTTGAGCTTGAAATAGAAAATAACAGTAGTCGAATGGTAGGTGCGTTTTCATTTGAAAAGTACTTCTGAGAATTCTAATGAAAATATCAAGGTTCTTTTACAGGAGTTCCTGATTTTTGGCAGTGGATGTATTTTTGAAAAGTTCTTTTTTCCTCCTCCCTCCCGCCCTCCCTCTTTCTTCCTTTCTAAATCAACTTATATTTTACATGGGCTAAAGGAAGCTGCTATTTAAAGGAATAACTTGGTAAATCCTCCAAGACTGCCAACCTGATTTTCTCTTTTTGGTAAATGCGTGTGTGTGTGTGTGTGTGTGTATTTGTTTTTTAGTGTTAGGCTTGATTTACATGAAGTCCACTGAAAACCTAGAAAAATGGATAATTACATCTGGAGAATTCAGATCTTACTTTAAAAGTTCAGTTTCTATGATACATTTATTGGAGGAGGCTAATTTCTTTGGACTGTAGTTTAAACCACTCCTCCTCTGTCTTTACCCCTCCTTTTGTCCAGCAATTCCTAATACGTTTATATGAGGAACAAGAGCTTCCTCAAATAATTCTCTGAAAGATCTACTTTAAGTAAATAGACTGTAAATATGACTGCCAAAACCAGATTTAAAATTAGTTAGAAGAGTGTCTTTATGAAATACTTACACAGTTTGAAGGAGCATGAAGAGTAGGGGATGGGATTAAGTGGGACTAGAGGCACATTTGTCTTCATGGGTGTAGACTCAGAGAAAAGGGGACCCGAAAATGGGAACCTTCATCTTTCCTTCAGACTATAACCTGAATACTTCCCTCTACCAAACACTCAAACCATTTTAGTTTTTGGAAGAGTAAGTGAAGAGTCAAATTTTCTTTTCTCATTATGACCATAGGAGTTGGTCCATAGGTAAATTAGGACAAGGAAGTTAAAAATTAAAGGAGAGAAAACCTCCCAGAACAAAAACAATAAAACAAAACCCATTTATCCTCCTCTCAGAATTTCATCCACGTAAAGGTGTATATTACAACAAGCATTGTACCTTTGGAAAACAGACAACGTGCTTAAATTACACCTGCTTATATGTTCTCAGAGTGAGTGAAACTATAGTTCTCAATTTATTTTGATGTCTCAGTAGTCATCAAAAATAAAAAATACTATATTACATTAAGAATATAGTATAATTCTCAGGAAAGAGCCACTTTCAAAGAAGGACATAAACAGCTGCAGGAAATCAGTTCCAATGAATTGGTATCCTATGTCAGTTATTGTTCAAATACTCTGGGACATTCATGTCTATTTTTTTTTTTTAAATGGTTTGAGCATAACTCCTTAATTCAATTTAGGGATAGGATCTTAAATACCCATTCTTATTTAAAGTCTTTTTTTTTTTTTCCACAAATTGATCTACCTTTTTCTTACTTTCTGATCTGCTAGCTCTATTGTTTAAATTATTCCTCTTTTGCCATTTTTTATTTCTCAAGGAATTATTTCAGTTTTGTGGAGTAATATTGGGCCAGGATTGCAGTTGAGATATTTTGCTTTTAGAGTAAATAATAATGTGACTCATTCTGTGACACATTGGGATTTGGATTCTTTTGGGAAGATCTGTCATTAAACATAATAAAAATTCCTACCAGTCTTACTTCTGTTAGTTATTCATTTCTTTCTTTTCTTTTCCTTTTTCTTTTTTTTTAGGTGAGGCAACCCTTGGTTGACCTCACAGATTGCAAGGACCTTGTTAGCTTACAATCCCTTATTTTTTTTTTATTTTTTACACCTATAGCACCTGGTCTTCCTAGGTGGTCTCCCATACAAGTACTAACCAGGCCCGACCCTGCTTAGCTTCCAAGATCAGATGAGATCGGGTTTGTTCAGGATGGTATGGCCGTAGACAGTTATTCATTTCTTGACTTTCGCAGTTGCAGATCTATCAAAGCCTGGACCACATTTTACAAACATGTTTCACAGGACTGGGTTTGTAGAGGCTCATGGGAAGCTCTTCCTTGTAGAGCCTGGGCCCTCCAAGCAAAAGCCACCATATAGCAAAGCCATTTCCCTATGGTCACCTGACTGACCCAAAGTTACCTGAAGCCTATAGACCTTGAATTATAAATAGGATTTTAAAAATGAGAGTGTACATGATAGGTTTAACATAAAAGAAGGTGGTTGGTTTTTAAATGTAAGTATAGGATGGATGGGTTGTATGTGCAAGTTCAGCCTAGCCCCCAAATGCCTGGCCACTCTCAATAATGGCCATGGCTCTACTCAATTAGGTCCATTATAGGAGCCCTCTGGGCTCTGTGAGGGCAACCTGAGGAAAGGACGTGCCCTCTAAACTGCGTGTGACCAATGAATCTATTAGCACTGCCTGATGGGACTGCTGTCCTTCTCTGAATAGGTGATCCATCCCAGCATTCCTTGGGGGCATGCAGGTTTCAGAGAACCCCTTCCTTTCTTTTCCTTTACTGGGAACTCTGCTGACAATGAGAAGAGCTGGGACTCTCAGGATCCTGGGGTGTGCTCTCTCCTGCTCCGCCACACTGTGTCTAGGGGCAGCAATAATTACTTTGTTCATCAGAGGAGTCTTTGCTTAGTTTCATCTTCAGAACTAGGAAATGCAGCAAAAATAAGGTCATACCTAGGACACGAGCTTTTTCCTGGTGCAAATGAGTTCTTTTCAGGGTGGCTGGGTCATTTCGAGGGAGCTTCTTCAGCACAGTAAGGAGCTCATACTCTGAAAATTTCCCCTTGGGATTTTGTGTCTTTTATAGTGATCCTCTAGTACCCCCCATAAATATATATTTTTCTTTTTTCTTATCTTTATTTTAAAAGTAGCCCGTAGCCCATAGTATCCTCATTTACTCATCCGAATCACCTGTTGGGGCTTGTTTGCTTTCTCTGGCTCTGTGGTGACCACAGCTTTGCCTCCTCTTGAAGACCATATGGGCCAATAGGACAGATGGAAGACAACATAATGCATGGCTAGGTTTGCTTTGTATGTGTGGGAGGATCACGTGCTGGAGGGCACTAATCTTTATCTCGACACCAGGAGCTCTGAGATGGCAGCACTGAGTGACTCAGCATTTCATGGCCTGCCCCCAAAATGAAGGGGGTTTGAGGCTGCTGGGCTGCTGAGTCACCAGAATTAGGATTTTCAAATGAAGAAAGAGAAGGAAGACCTCTGGCCAGGCAAAGAGTTGGCTCTAAGGTAAGAGAGTTGAAATACCCGTGGTGGGTCTTGGGCTTTTGGTTTGTGATTGGTTGGGGATGCTTTTGCACCAGCCAAGGTACGTTACTGAGTGTCCTGCTTAGCCTGGGTGGGTGTGGAGGGTGATTTGTTCTAAGTTCTACCACAGAGGAGGCTGGGACAAGGGCAACGTTGAGGGGCTTGGGAGAGTGACAGTCTTTTAAAGACCTTGTTGCCTGACCTTGGTCAACTGGAATCCCAGTAAAGAAATGGAGTAAAGGTCTCTTTCCTTCTTCTTGCCTCCCCGCCCCTCTCGTTTTTCCGTCCCTTTGTTTAGTGCCTCAGTTTGCCAGGCACTATATCAAGTGCTTCATTAGAGCATCATCATTTAGGTATGAAGACTGGGGGCTCTGGAGTGAAAGCACTTAGATTTGAATCCTGGTTCTGCCATTTACTGGCTGAGTGACAAATAACCTTCTTATGCCTCAGTGTCCTGTGTGAAGTGGAGGCAATAATAGTAACTACTTCATAACATTGGCATAAATAGATGAGTCAACACATTTAAAGCACTTTAAATCAGTGCCTGGCATGAAATATGCACCCAGTAAGTATTCAGTAAGTATTAGCTGTTATTATTCTCAGCTCATTTAATTATTTGAGGAAAACTTTTTCTTTTCTTTTTCTTTTTTTGCTAAGGACACTGAGGCTCAGGAAAACAATGTGTATCAGAGGCAATTTCCAAACACTTGTTTATTTGTTTCCAAACCTCATGTTCTTCCTTACACTTTCTGCCACCCTTGGTTGTCCCCTGGTTGTCTCTGAGGCTGGTGCATCCTAGCTAATTCAACCCAAAGGGTTTTAAAAAAATGAACTCAGAGCATTTCAGCAGAGTGACAGGGCAACTAAGGTCTCTTGACAGAAGTTGGAATGAGGTTAATCACTTCTTGTTTAGGCCAACAAGAGATGCTTTCTGCTCTTATTTCCCATCACTGGAGTATTATGTTTGCAAATGGCATTTTTAGGAAGCCACCTCTCACCTCAAAATAAATATCCCTCCTTGTTCCTTTTCCTCCAGGAACTGACACCTAGATTGGTATCTTAAACTGAGAGAAATATCACACCTATTTTAGTGGGATGACTTCCAGGAATAGACTGAATATAATAGGTGTCATTGTTGGAAGTGCTGGATTCCTGGTGAGAGCTCATCCTCATGAAAGTTCATTTGTCATTGCATAAGGGAAGTTCAACACAGGTGAATGGTGACATCTTTTGTTCACTGAGACATGCAGTCTCCCAGTCCTAACAAATAATTAAATTGATTCCATAGCCTTGCATGGGATCACTCAACTTGTATTTATTAAGCTCCTACTATGTGCTCAGTATTGCACTGGGCCCTGTGAAATAAGAGACAAGTTATGCTAAGGAGTATAACATACAACCTGTGCCTTCCTGGAGTCTTCAGACTTCTTAGGGCAATGAGATGTTTCAAAGGTGTTGCAAACTCAAATGCCTTCAGGACCAGGCAGGATTTGTGACTGTTGGAAGCAGTGGGGTTTGAAATAATGGTGAGTAATGGGGGCTGGGGTGAAATGGAGAGTGTAACTTCACCCCTTCCACTTCCTGCAAGGTGTTTAAATTCTTCAAATTCAAATCTAAGACGACAAAAGGCTCTATGGCCACATAAAGCTGATCTGAAGCTGATCTTGCCCACAGCCACCAGTTTTGACTCTTATTTAACAATATGATGTAATATTAACTCAAGTTTGTGGAACTCAATTTCATTATGTTGTAATCAAGTCTCATATTGATTAATTTAAGGAATCATCTGATTATACACCAAAATACTGTTATTTCTCTAGGTTCCATGAGGTAAGAAATAATGTAGTTCTGGGGCCAAGGGCCAAGAATTTATTTCTGACATTAAGTAATAGGAAGTCTACGTGGAGAAGAGGTTTGGGAGAAGTGAGGAAATTGGAGTCTAATGAAGGATATGTGAATGGAGAAGAAGAAAATAGCCGTTAGGGATATCTTATGAAGTATCTTAAATTCTGGGCCTGGTATTTTAGACTTAGCGCTGTAGACAATAAGAAACCATTAGAGTTTTGGTATGAGAAAGCCGACTGTTAATCTGATGATCTTGTTCAGGGTGGTTTGGGAGTGGGTAGAGGGTGGCAGCAGGGAGACTATTGAAGAAGTCTGGAAATTAGGGTAATAGAGCCTAGACGGTGTGGGAGGGTCATAGAGGAAAAAGGGACTCATTAAACCTCACTAGGCAACTTTTTTTAATGGTGCTTATTTTAATGGTGTGTGTGTGGCAGGGGATGGGGAGTCTGGCTCCTTTAAAGAAGACACTGTTCAGTCAGAAGGCCTGGGCTGAGTTGCAAAATGAAGGAGAACTATTTAATCATCAGGAATGAAGTATTGATTGAGACAATAATTACCCTGCAGATAAAAGGACACAGTGTTCTTCATTTCATAGACTCACATTCATATCTACATTCTTTAAGACATGAGGTGAAATGAGCTCAGGAACAAAAGAACAAAATAGGAGGCCGGGTAAAACATTATGAAGAGAGATTTTTTTTTTCATGGTGTCTTTTTTGTCAGTAGGGCCAGATAGGGAACAGAATTACTGGGAATTGGGGTACTGTGAGGCAGGGTAGGTGCTCAGAAGCAATGGGAGCCATCTCTTGGATTTAGTTTTTTGTTGTTGTTGTTTGTACCTCTGAATCTTGTTACTATTTTGAAGATCTCATTGTTGTAAATAGAATTGAGGATTATCAAAGTACACATTATTTATTTAAGAATTACATGGGAAGAGAAGTGCAGGAATGTACCATGTCCAGTTATATAGGTCTGAACTGAACGAGCCACTTCACAAGGATGCAGCATTGTCCCTAAGAGGCTCCCACCCAAGTGGAGAGTGGGATTCAGATAAATGAAAGAACCTCTGTAGACCTGCCTTGTCCCCACCAACCGCTTGGGGTCAAAGAGGGTCAAAGAAATTGTTATGATCAGAGGTCGCAGTGGAGATAATGGTGATTTTGAAAACACAACACCTGATTTAGGAAAGAGAGAATACAGAAGAAATTTACAAGTTTGACTATGGATAAGTTCAGTTTTAAAAAGATGGTGCTAAGGTCAAAGGGAAATGTCCAAGAGAAGTTAGGAATGTAGATCTGAAGTTTGGCTGGGAGGTCAGGGCAGGAGAAACCAAAGGCAGCTATAGATTTTGCAGATATATATTTTTGTTAATCATCTGAATAGAAGTGGCATTTGAAGCCATAATAATCGATGAATTTCTGGTGGAGAGAGTGTAGAGAGAGAGACCGAAAGAAATTGGAGCTTGTTGATTCATTCCATATTTGAGAGTCCCCTGTGTGTTCGCCACAGGCCAACCATTGGGCAGAGATGAGGCCCACAGGAAGGGAGCAGCAGGAAAAGGAGGTTACAAAGCTTGTTGAAGAATGGGGTAAGAGGATCGGGATAGAACCCAATAATGTCTTAGAAATCAAAGGAAGAGAACTGAGTGGAAAATGAGCTAATTAACAGTGACAAATACTGCAAAAGAGTAAAAATTAAGGACTGAGAAAATGCCTGTTGGATTTTACAAGGAAGACATTGATTTACCTTGGAGCTTATATTGTTCCTGATCTTAGAGGAAAAGTTTTTATCTTTTCACTATTGAATATATTAGATGTGGGTTTATCATATATGGCCTTCATTATGTTGAGGGACGTTCCTTCCGTACCCTATTCATTAAGAGTTTTTATCATGAAAGGATGTTGAATTTTGTCAGATGCTTTTTCTGCATTTATAGAGATGATCATAATGATTTTTATACCTAATTTTGTTAATGTGGTGTATCACGTTTATTGATTTGCTTATGTTGAATTATCCTGTATCCTAGAATTATTATTATTTTTTTAATATTTTATTTATTGTTGTTATTATTATTTTGTATCCCAGAATTAAAGCCCACTTGGTCATGGTGTACAATCCTTTTAATGTGCTATTGAATTTGGTTTGTTAATATTTTGTAGAGGATTTTTGCATCTATGTTCATCAAGGATATTGACCTGTAGTTTTGTTTTTGTTTTTCTTGTAATGTCCTTGTTTGGCTTTGGTTTCAGGGTAATGCTGACCTTGTAAAATGAGTACGAAAGTGTTCCCTCCTCTTCTATTTTTTAGAAGAGCTTGAGAAGGATTGGTATTAATTCTTTAAATATTTGTTAGAATTTACCAGTGAAGCCATCTGGTTCTGGATTTTGTTGGGAAGTTTTTGATTATCTCTGCTTTCTTTTTTTTTTTTTTTTCCATTTGCATGGAAATTTTAGACATTTTGAAGTATCATATCTCAATGGTTAGAAACACACACTTTGGAATCAGGTTTGAGTTCCAGCTGTGTGAACTTGGGCAAGTTACCCAACCTCTCTAAGCTATAATTTCCTCATCTGGAAAACGGAGGGTGACAATACCTGCCCGAAGGGACTACTGAGAAGAATAAATGAGATCAAGCATGTAAAATACCTAGTATAGTGCCAGGCATGTAGTTAACATTTGGTAAGTATTAACAATGATTATTATTTATCTTGAAAATTTTAGGCCATCCCAGACTTGAGTTAGAATTAATATTCTAGCACTTCTGGCCTTCCGTGGCTTTCAATGCCTGGTAAAGAATGTTGACGCTGGAGACCCAATTGCTGTGCCACCTGTCCGATGTGTGATCTTGGGCAAGTGACTTACCTTTCTTTTTGGTACCAGTTTCTCATCTATGGCAAGGAGATAATAATAGTACCTACTTCACGTTGTTGTTGAGATTAAATGAGTTAATATTTTTTAAGTGCTAAGAACAGTACTTGCCACATAGTAACTCCAGTGCAAACATTTGTCATGTAAATAAACATTTGTCAAGTAAATAAAAATGAGTTTCTTCTGTGTTGCTGTTGCTGGATTTTTTTCCTGCAGTCATGACATCTCATCCTCTCCTGCATTCATCCTGGCAAGGAGAAAACTCCTCACTCAGTGCCTGCAGTAGTGAGGAGGTCAATATCTTAAAAGAAACTGACCTTTATCTGCCTTAGAGTGTCATCTCTATGAAAGGTGATGATACCCAAGAATAGGGTAGATAATCTAGCTGTCTGCTTGGAATGATACAGGAGCAAACTTACCCTTAGTGCCAGAAAAGCAGATTCAATATACTTGCACACTGAGTCTGCCTTGTTGTTTGTACTGCTAATTTTCTCATTAACTTCAAGTGGCATGTTATTCTAACTAAACTGGCCCCTCTTGACTGAGCAAAGAGTCTTGAGGTTGTGTGCTTAATGTAAAGTTGACACATTCTTGTCTGTCTTACCCTTTTTGGCTAAATTAGGAAATGGGGGATTAGTTTGTAAGCCTTGGGAATTAAAGTCAATTTGGCATGCTGCGAAGACAAAAGCAAGTGTTAGGCAAGGATCGTCCAGTGTCTCTCTGCTGCTAACTGCTATTGCTTTTATTCATAACATAACTCTGAGTTACACAGAAGCAGTTCTTTGACACCTGTCAGACCTACCCAGTCTCCCAAAGACCTGGACAGTTCATTATCTTTGGATTCATTTTGGAGAAACTGTCCCCCCCCACCCCCGCCTCCCCGCCCCGAGTCCTCAGCTCAGACAAAGCTTTCTTCTGGCCTCTTATGATTCTTGCTAAGTTAAACTGATGACCTTGGAAACACCACATGAAGACTCCTTAAGTGAAAATTACATTTCAATGCTTGGAGGATGATCAAAGCTACCTTTAAAATGTTCATGCCTTAAGTACTTTGTGAAGGTGTGTCTATGAAATAAAGCATCTGTGCAATGACAGAGCGGTGCCTTTTCCCCTGCAATTATCCTCCTGGGATCACTCAATTCGTTTCAGTCAGTCTTATCCTCACCTTGGAAAATGCATCTTTCCACAGGGTCTGGACAAGCTAAAGCAGATCCTGGCTAATGCCAGGCCTCCAAACTCCTCATTTCTTTCCAGAAATGACTCACAGCCAGACACTTGACTCTGAAATTCCCAGGTGACGCAATCCTTCTTTGCATTCCCTCAACTGCCCTGAAGTGAGGGACCAGAATGTGACATCTTTATAAACTTGCTGATAGCTTTCCTGCTGCTACCCAGAGTCTAGAGTCTGGAAGACTCGTGTGTGTGTGTGTGTGTGTGTGTGTGTGTGTGTCCCAGATCTGGAATTTGGCTGATTCTGTATTTTAGTTTCAGGTTTCCTTAACTCCATCTTTTGATAAGAGGTACTTTTGTGAGGCAAGCATCTCTCTAGGTAATATCCTGGTTCTGCTTTTGTGAGGCCAGTTTCTTGGCTGGAGACCAGCGAGGCCATCTAGAAATCAGATTTCTCCAGAACAGGCCACTGCTTTCCTTTTTCCTTTTTTACCAACCAGAATAACAAAAGGGATATTGAGTTTATCTTTGCTTTAGGGGTTTACTAATAATTGTTCTGAACTTTGTGGTATCTTAAATTTGGCAGACCATGTGGAGTTTACAGATGAAACCACAAGTGTCTCCGTAATCCTGAGGGTACATTCTCCAAATCACATATAGCATTGGTTTTTCCTAGTGAGAGAGGAAATGGGACAGAAATTGTGTGGTTAGATATTACTGCTTGCGTAGGAGTTTTGTGGCATTATTTAGCTTGGGCCATTGAGAAATATCCCTAATCATCTCCATCCATAGTCAATAACTTCATATACTTAGGTGCAGTCACCTAATTTGACATATATGGATCAATATATTGTTCTCAAAGCTAGTTTAACAAGTTTTATATCTTGTTGTTTATATTATATGGCTTTCATTTAAAAAAATCTAAGATTGTAGGGGAGGGAGGTACATTTCCTACTACAGAGGGTATTAAAAAGCCCCATGTGGGGCCCAGAACAAAGTCTCAGATTGGGGAGGAGTCACACAAGATTTACAGGCAAAGATGGCAGAAGTGAATTTCATGTTGTACCTAATTTTGGGACATATGAAGGGGTGCTACATGAATGTGCATCTTGGCCTCATATATGCAGCCTGATCTCAAACCCCTCTCTGTGTCAGGCCACAGAAAAAGGATGGCGAACACTTTTGATTAGTTCCCATGTGATATTTTACAGAAGATATTGTTTACACTATTTAAATGAAACCTTTTCAAAGAATGGGAGTTCATATATTAAGTCTCATTAGGTTGGATGTACTGTTTGCTCTAATAACTCAGCTAACACCAAGTGATGAGAGCTACAATTCTTAATCATATCAGTGACAAAGGTCCTGAGACACTGAATAGCAGTTGCAGTTGCATCGCTATGGATTACCCATGTATATAGGGGGTGAGTGGTGTAGGGCTTTTTTTTGGTGGGGGGGTGGGGCGTGCGGCGGCACTAGCATTTATCACACATATTATGTGACAATCTCCACTAAATGCATCATATACATTTTCTCATTAACTACTTAAAGCAATCTCAAAGGGCAATTTCACAGATTAAACCAAGGCCTCGATTATTGGCAAAGGTCACAAAGCTGATAAGAGATTGGAACTGTGCGTCCACTCAAACACCTGCAAAAAAACAGTTGCTGGCCCACTGCCGGATTATAAGCCGAATACAGTTTCCTCATACTATTCTAATGAGATGTATTTTAAATAAAAGGCCTTGTACCCAGTGGGCTCACTAAGATTTGTTAAAAAATAAAGTCATTTTCCAGAGCCGATAACACCACTCCTCAGGGCAAGATCAGTATTGTATCTTCCAAACAGATCTCTCTAAGGAGTTGTTGAGTATTTTATCCCACATTACCAAAAGAGAAAACTATTCTGAATTAGTTTGGCCAGGTAATGATGAGCATTTTTAAAAAGATATCTCAGTGAGGTTTAGGGGGGCTGTCCACCCCTTTGTGGGCTATCACGAACTAGTGGGTCTATCAGCAGACCCCTCTCATGACTCAGGTTCCAGGCAGAACAGTGCCATCTCTTTAAAAAAGCTCTCTGAATACATCCATTCATAGTTTATAGGCACATTTCAGAGGGCAGAACTGGTCCTTCAGCGAAACCAAGTCACCATGATATTGAGACCAGACTATCTCCCATTATAGTAATTTCTAACCAAATTTTACCTTCCCTTCCATCTCACTCATGAAGTATGGGCAAACTGTTCATAATGACACTGTATTTCAGCTTTATAATCCCCACTGATTAACACAGAAGAATTACTTTTCCTTAAGCTCTGCTTTTTCATTCTTGGGCATAAAGTTTTGGAAATAATAATCTGTGTACAATCTAAATCAACCGACCACATCTCTACCTTCCCACACCCATGTAAGTGAGACAAAAGAATAAAGATAAAGGCGGGGAAGAAAGAATGATGGAAATGTTTATTGAGATTGAAATGGAACACTGTTCTCTTTGATGAGTTAACAGCACAGTGTAAGAGGCTGGTTACAAACTGACTCCAAAACAAAGATGGCCTGCAGTTCATGAACAGCTCTGCCAACTCTAGTGCCTCAAATCAGAGAAACCTGCCAAGGGGTAAAACCATTCAGCTTAAGATAAATTACTGACTCAACTGCATTTATATTCATATTTATTTCCTTATAAACAATACTACTATTTGATTTTAAAAACACTGAATTACTGGTTCAGATTTATGATAATTACATGCCAATTCAGTATCATTCTTTTGTAGATTTCAAATGCAGGCGGTCGATACAGAGCATTTATTTACTTTTCCATGATCTTTGGCACAATTTCTGGTTTCTTAAATACAAAAGCACAGGCTTAAATTGGCTACTCAATACTGCAGAAACACGAGTATTTTGGATCTCAGTGTAAATACAAGTTTATGTTAAGCATTATTTACAAGATGTGAGCTAAAGCACAGACTTTAATAAGCTATCTTCATAAATTAGAATGACAAGCAATGGATTTTAATGAGCACAGCCAAGATTACTAGACTACTAGTCACTTAGAATGATCCTCCCTGGAGGAGATAACTGCCTTACAATGGAAGAAGTTTCCTGAACCACCGATTGGTCTCCTGTCCTGGGATTTACTCTGCAAGAATCCAGGGTAGGGATAGTGTTTTTCTGGTCAATGTGGCTTGTTCAATCCATTAAATCCCTATTAAAATACAACTTAGCTGGTAGCTTGCCACTGTTGTTTGGGCCCTGATGGGTACAAAGGGCACAGTACTGTCATTTTTAAGTGGGCATAACTGACCTTGGAACAATGTAGTCTTCCAGTTGGATAAAAACACATCCAGCCTTATGTGAGTGACACCTTTGTACGTAATCTTATAAAGAGCCAATATGGATTCCCTCCCAGCAGTAGAATCTGAAAGTTGTAATGAATGGCTAAGCCACCTCAGAGCATCACCATAATACATCTCTGCTTTGGGTCTGATACACAGACATGAAACAATCGAACAACATTTCTCATTCTAGTGCTCCTGAGAGAGGAATTCTGATAAGCCTCAAAGTAGATCTGGATTGGAATCATAGTTATTATTCAAGTATAAGGAAAGCTCTTTATTTCACATTGACAGTTCAATTCTGATCTCTGTCTGGCAAATTATATGAAAATAATATATACATATATATATCTAGCTCTATACTGAACACTGATTTTATAGTTACCAGTGTCCCAATACAGTACATTGAAAAGAGAACCCTTCTCCCTTCCCCCTAAACCTGACGTCTTTCTTAAAACTGTTATTGCAGAACTGTGCTGGTCTGTTTTCTTTCAAAGCAGTTTCTTTGAAATTGGCTGGAGATGAGTTCAAAATGGACAACTTGGCACATTAACTAGAGGAGGGGGATGGTTTAGATACATTAAAATCCATAAAAACGTGAGACATCAAAGGAAATCCATGCCAATAGAAAGCCCGAGTAAAAATTTGTAGTCAATGACAGAATATTTTTAAAAAAACCCTAACACCAGTCTGTGCATGAGAAAGTAATTTCTCTTTCACATCTGTTAACCTATTCCAACAGTAGCAACTCTGTCATAAAATTTTAAAACTCCAGATAATACAGCTTTCCTTTTAGTCAATTTCATTTTATCTTACACTACCCCCAAATCCTAGAACCTGGAGAGTGAAAGCTGTGAATCCAAATATAGAAAATAATCTGGAGGTCTGTATATCAGGTCAAATGTACAACTGGCCACTAGTGTTTTTCTTTTTCCTTAATGTTTGAAATTGCTAAGAGATGTCCTTTATTATTCCCAGTCATCTGAAGCCAGGGGCTCTAGAACTGTGAGGTCTGGGTGAATGAGATGGTGTCAGATTTGTCTACAGCAAAGCCTCCGTTGACATACGACTTCTTGGTGTCTGAGTCTTCATTATCGAGCGTCGCAGATTCCACAGCAAAGGGGTTCACGAAGTTGACGTCGGACGAAACACTCATCTGCTCCAGCTCCTTCTTAGAGAGCTTCTCCACGATGCCTGTCCCAAAAGCATCACCGAGGACATTCACCATGGTCCTGAACCGGTCTCTGGGGAAGGGAGAGAGTGAGTCAGACAGCAGGCCCAGATTTCTTTTTCCTTCACCACTGGAACAAAGAAAGGACTTGAAGCATTATGTTAAGCAAATGCAGAAGGGGCTGTCCTCATGGCTGGCTGGCTAGAGGCTCCTCTTCTTTCAGGCCTGGGGCAGAAGGTGGTTCATAGGGACAGATGAGCAAATAGGCTCCCCCAGGCCTGTGCTCCTAATAAGTCACAGTGATTCCCCTAGATTCATCACCATCTCCCTAAATTCTGCTTTCTTCCCAAAGAAATGTGAACAGTCTTCATAGATATTTTTGGGGAGCTGAAGGAGGGTCAAAATTCAGTAAGACTTTCACCTCTAACCTCTGTCTTGTGGGCATTTCCGGACTCTCTTTTGGCTAAGGTGAGAGAACTTGGATGGGGTGTGTGTGTGTGTGTGTGTGTGTGACTCACTCATTTCTTTACCAGACTATGTCACTCCAGGAGTAAGCCATCAGGGAAGTCACAGAGCTCAGGTCAGAAAACAGGTCTGCCTGAGAATGGCTTGCTTGAGGTACCCTCAGCCAGTCTTAACTCCCAGAGAGCCTGGAGTTAGGAAGGTATATAGGTAGAAAAGGCACAGTGGTGACAGGATGCTAGAGCATTGTTGGGAGGAACTATATACATGAATATGCTTGTGAAAACTATACCTGCAGGACAGAAAAGGTCAACAATGCTTATACATGTCCATTTGGATGTCCTTGTTATTTAGAACAAGGCTACAGATTGAGCTAGACCCCAGTAAGGACCTGCTAGTGTCTTTTTATCCCATGGATCAGACTGGACCTTTGACTTCTCTGGGTGTCTTGGAAGTGAAGGTCACTGATTCTAAGAATCAGGAAAAGGAGAGAAAAATCCACCAACACCGTTTGGAAGAAAAACTGAAGCACTGGCTTCACAAAGGTACCCACAATAGTTGAGTACCTTTGCAAGAAAGGTGCAGCCTCAGTTGGGCCTTGTAGAACCAGCTCGTTACTGAGAGAGCCCCACATGGCACAGCTTCCCAGGTATAGGAGCTTCTACCTTCTGGGACATGACTGTATCTTCAATCCGTCATGGAATGTTTCTGCTTTCCTTTCTTCCATCTAAGCTTTCACTTGCACACTACATACACTGGATGCCCCAGTAAGCCTGGGCTGGTTCTGGGTGAAGGCTCACTATGAAGCTACACTTACCCCTAATGGCCAGAGGACAGAGCCAACCCTAGGTGCTGGAAGAACAATGAACAAAGTGGATATCAACCAAGGACAGAGCTAGGAACCAGGCTCATTCTAACTTTAACTTTGGGGGTCACAAAAGGCACATTCTTACCAGAACATATCACAGATATTATGTTTCTTAGCTGTGTGTATTTTGTGTGTGTGTGTATGTGTGAGGGAGGGGTGGGGGAGAGAGATGGAGAGATGAAGGTGAGGGGGAGAGAGAGAAAGAAATAGATTTGTTGGTTGAGACCTGAATGGTGCAACTCATTGTAGTTATAACAATAAAACTTGCTTTTTATTGAGCATATACTGCTTGCCAAACACTATTCTAGACACTCCTCCCATATTAGCTCACTCAGTCTTTACACCAACAGAATCTTTCCCATCTCATGGATAATACCACTGGACCTCAGAGAAGTTAAGGAACTTATGCAATGTCAACAGTCAGTAAGAAGACACTGAACAGGGAATCAAACCTAAATCAATCTTACCGCCAGCCTTTGCTTGTGTGCCTCTGATGGTCTGATGCTTGGGAAGACTGGCTGACTTTGAAACTATGATGGTGACACAGGGCTGGGATAGGCCAGGGTGGTCTATAAGGTTGGGAATGACTGAGGCCTTGCTCGACTTGTTCACATTATTTTGTTTATCTCGTCCTATACTTGGCTCCTAATCTTGAGCATTACCAGGTATAATGAGCTAATAGAGATCACTGGCTTTTTAAAAATCACTACTTGAAGTTATGAGGAGTTAATTTTTAAGCACGTTATCAGATGGCCTGGTTAGAGAGAAATTAAAGCAGCAACAGATGGCTAATTGGGCAATCTGAGGAGAGAATGATGACAAACTGCAGATTCTGCATGGCTGGGAAGCCCGCCTTCTCATCCGGCCGAGGCAGAGCAATTATTCCAACTCACAGGAGCCAGTCGACAGCGATGATCAGGGTGACATCCTCAGTGGGCAGGCCCACAGCACTCAGCACGATCACCATGGTCACCAGGCCAGCCTGGGGCACACCGGCAGCTCCGATGCTGGCAGCTGTGGCTGTAACACTGTAGCCAAAACACACCAGAGCAAAAAGAGTTAGATGCTCATTTCTTCCTTCAAGGCCCTTTGGCCTGAAACAGTTAGTCCCAATGAGTGTTACTGCTATGTCCCCAAATTGGCCAGTCAGAATCTGTTATCTGCTAAGCATCAGCTTTGCCTCATTAGAGGGCTGTGGGAGACTGAGGGGAGCATGATCTTCCAGGAGGAGATATGGCAAATCACTCTAATGCAAGGAAGTGGAGAGGAACTGCATGAGTGGCATACAGAAAATGAGCAAGAGAGATATTCAAGAGGAAGACAAGAGTTTCGCCAACTGGGGTATTGATGGAAGGCTTTATCTACCCACCCATCTTAAACAAGGGCCCAAAACCTCTCCACCTGCTTTATTCTTCCATCTACTCACCCAGCCAATCATTTACTGAACATCTAGTATGTGCCAAGAATTTATGTGGCCTTGGAGGGTGGTAGAGGGATAGTGGTAGGAATGGATAGGCAAGTGCATTTCAGGTGAAAACAAACCTTGCAGTGTTCAAGCAGGTTTTATTAACTTTCTTGACATCACAAGACTCTTGATCTCTCTGGGAACTTCCCTGTAGGGCACTGAGTTGAGAAATGGCTATGACTCCTGTCCAAGGTACAAGCATTTATTCCTGCCTGCTCCTTTTTGCCAGTGGATACACTCTGTGCCAAAGAAAGTTAGCTCTGGAATCCAGGAGTGGCAGCAGAGTGAACTTCATTACTGTATATTTAGAAAGATCCCTCTTGGGCAGATAGAATGTGGCAGAAGGGAATTTTTCTCTTCGGAATATAGTTTTTCATCAGCACCTCCCTTATTTAAATCTGGTCATTTTGTAGGAAACAAGGGCTCACCATTCTCTGAAAAGTCTCTTGATTTGAGTCAGCCTAAGGGGACATCCACTATATTTTTTAGAGACGTCCTTACCTTGGGCCAAATCCTGAACTTCCTTCAGGATGCCACTGAGTTGAAAAGTGATGACGTAGAAAATGCCAATTTAAACTAGAAAAATCCCTGATTCTATCCTTAATCCATATATCTGTAGGCTTATGAAGCCTCAGAGTTCATATGAAGCTGATTCTGGTGCCCATTCTTCTGCCAGTGATATGTCACAGATGGTGTTCGAGGGTATGGTTAAACTCAGGCCAGAGTTGTTTGACAAGTGTGTTTTTCTCCACTGCCTGTGGTCACTAATTTACAGTAAATTAGAGATATCTGGGGCTGTCTCAGCGCCTCTAAAAGTTTCAGGTCTGCATAATCCTTTAGATGTGTTCTGACTTAAGCACTCTTTGGAAAACCCAAGTTTATTTCAGCACTGGTTGAAAAAATTTAAACTGGATGTACTGATGGATTTTCTTTGTCAGAACTGATTTGTGCCCGTGCCCACTGATCCCTCTTAGAACCTCCAACATATCACTGTTAACCATGTGGTGGTCCCTATAGCCCAAGGCTGGGCTTGAAACTCAAAATCCATTAAGTCAAAGAAAACTCTGCCCTTGACCTTGCTTATTAAACTCCAGATATCTGACTGGCTTTGGTCTGAAATATAAATCTTTAGATAGGGGAAAAATTTTTACTAACGACCTGTCCTTAGGCAAGTTACTTCTCTGAATCTCAATTTCTCGCATGTAAGATAGGACTAATATGTTTACTTTGCAGGGCTGCTGTGAAGATTACATGAGGTAATATATGTAAATACATGTAAAGCATCCAGTACAGCACCTGGATATAGTAGATACTTAAAAACTGATGCCATTTCTGCTACTTCAGCAGCTGCTACTACTACTTCTATTACCACTGCTGTTAGTATTACTGCTACTTTTTTCCTCCACG